TTCCTTTATGAAGACGAAGGAAGACAAGCCATAAAATTCCGTATTTTGAAAACCAACCTAGTAATCGGAATACTACAATCAAGATATATCGATTTCTAACAATGGACATGATATGACCGCTCTGATACCACTTGCTAGGATTAAATCCTAAAAATCTTAAATAACGGATCACATATCATAGTGTATTATTAAGAAATCAAGGAGAAATGTGTACCCGAATCCATTATAACGGTTGAGCAGAAACGTGATTATGGGATATCCTTCTAATCTTTTTCCTTACTTTAATGCCTTTTGTTTTCTCCAAGAGAGGATCTGGAGAATATGTATTTTTTTGACAGGATTGGGGACCATTACCCCTAAATATTTATAGTTTTTCCATTTGGCGGTAGGGGTGTAAAAATGGCCCGAAACCAAGGTTGTTAAAATCGGGATCCTAAGTAGAATCAGTGAGAGGGTCTGGTGGATCAGATCGTAGGATCGTAAGATCCTACTTTCTATTAAAAAAAAAATTTAAAATTAAAATTAAAGTGATGCATATTAAAAATAAGGTGAAAAATCATAAAATCTACGATCCTACTTGCGATCCTACCTACGATCCTATACGATCCCATATGATCCTACATGATCCCATGCGATCCTACACGATCCTACTTGCGATCTTGTTGTAACATTGATCCTACAACGATCTGGATCGTTTTGGCAAAGTAAGATCGTAGGATCGTACGATCCTACGATCCGGATCACGATTTTAACAACCATGCCCGAAATCCGCCCGCGGCCCGTTTAAGCCTGCTTGGGCCCAGGCCCGAGCCCCTGGGCTAGGGACTGGGCCATCGTTTTGAAGCTCAGCCCGGCCCATCGGCCTGCTTAGGGCCCGGTCCAGTGTATTTTTTAGTGGAAAATAATAAACTTTTGGTAGAAAAAAATTTTAAAAAATGGCTAGGCCTGCCCAAGCCCGAGGCTAGGCCCAGGCCCATTGGCCCGCCCAAGGCCCGAATACCCTTGGGCCTGGGCTTAGTTTTTTGGCCCGTGGCCCGGACCGGCCTGATTTTTTGGCGAGAGCCCGCGAGTCCCGACATGGGCCGGGCCGGGCTAGATTTACACCCCTGCCTGGCTGTTGGAAACTATCATAATTTCTATTTCTGCCCGAAATAGAAATTACACAAAGGTATCTACTCATTAATTCCATGGCAAACATACCCTTAAGTCTATTTATAACTAAATTAGATCACTTAAGTTTAGGCTTCTTATAAATGATAACACACATTTAAATATGTGGTTCCAATTAGAAATCAATCCAACATGTATTAATTTGGAGAGGTGATTTCATGCAAGTTGCGGTGCTGGAGCAAAATGAACCCCAAATGGAACATGGGTTGAGGTTCTAAGAAAATAAGTGATGATTTTTCATCTAAATACAAATATGCTCCTTGATGAAACTAAAAGGCAGTTTAATTTAAACCCCAAGGACTTGACATTTTGGGCATTGTTGTGATGAAAAGAGTAGTTCTGTTCTGAGAACTATGATAGCTAACATATTGTGCTAGAAATAAAGAGGTAAATTACTTTGAAGAAGGGAATTCAGTCCCAGTTAATGATTACATAGTTATTTAACTAACTAGGCTACTGCCTACTTGCTACCTGTTAAAATCCACCTACTCTCCACCTACTTCACCCACTTAAACCTACTCCACTAAACCTAACCCACTACACCACTACCACCTCACCTACTCCACTAAACCCACTACACCACTACCACCTCCACTTACTCCACTAAACCTAACCCACTACACCACCTACTCTCCACCTACTTCACCCACTCTCACCTACTCCACTAAACCTAACCCACTAAATCCACATACTCTCCACCTACTTCACCCACTTAAACCTAATCCACTAAACCTAACCCACTACACCACCTACTCTCCACCTACTTCACCCACTCTCACCTACTCCACTAAACCTAACCCACTAAATCCACATACTCTCCACCTACTTCACCCACTTAAACCTACTCCACTAAACCTAACCCACTAAATCCACATACTCTCCACCTACTTCACCCACTTAAACCTACTCCACTAAACCTAACCCACTAAATCCACATACTCTCCACCTACTTCACCCACTTAAACCTACTCCACTAAACCTAACCCACTAAATCCACATACTCTCCACCTACTTCACCCACTTAAACCTACTCCACTAAACCTAACCCACTAAATCCACATACTCTCCACCTACTTCACCCACTTAAACCTACTCCACTAAACCTAACCCACTAAATCCACATACTCTCCACCTACTTCACCCACTTAAACCTACTCCACTAAACCTAACCCACTAAATCCACATACTCTCCACCTACTTCACCCACTTAAACCTACTCCACTAAACCTAACCCACTAAATCCACATACTCTCCACCTACTTCACCCACTTAAACCTACTCCACTAAACCTAACCCACTAAATCCACATACTCTCCACCTACTTCACCCACTTAAACCTACTCCACTAAACCTAACCTCATCAAGTTCTTAAAGAAAAAAAACAAGGTATTTTGTTATATATAAAAATATATATATATATATATATAGTCTCAACTGTTTCTGAAACCAACAGCCCCTAGTTTTGTTTTGTTTGTTTGTTTGTTTGTTTTTGTTTTTGTTTTGTTTTGTTTTGTTTTTATTTTTATTTTTTATCTATGTCGTATTCTTGTTGCCATGTATGTATAGGAAAAAAAAAATAAAAATCAAAAGGCAAACATCAAAGGAAAGCATAAAAGTAGGCATACCAATTCAATACTCTACATGAATTTGATAAAACAATGGTGCCCAGTTTCAAACACAAATAGTTTGTATTTATCGTAAAATGACGGAAACAATTCTATCAGTTTGATAGTTTGACAGTGAAAGAGTCTCACAAAAAATTGATCAACTGACCAGATTAAATGATTATCCAATAGTCTTATAAACATAGAACAATATATCTATCACAAAGACTCCGCATGTGAATTGTAAAAAATCAATGTATAAAGAGAACAATACAGAGAGAATAAATGTATCTGATGATCTTATTATTGATTGATTTGTTGATATGTTATATTACAATGATTCATGATTCCTATATATAGAAGAGGGTGAGTGTGTAGTAGGTAAGGAGTAGGTGAAGTGGAGGTGGTAGTGGTGTAGTGGGTTAGGTTTAGTGGAGTAGGTGAGATGGTAGTGGTGTAGTGGGTTAGGTTTAGTGGAGTAGGTGAGATGGTAGTGGTGTAGTGGGTTAGGTTTAGTTGTGCATATATATATATATATATATATATATATATATATCAATTCCTTTATGAAGATGTAGGAAGACAAAGCCATAAAATTCCGTATATCGCAAACCAACCTAGTAATCGGAATACTACAATTAAGATATATTGATTTCTAACAATGGACATGATATTACCGCTCTGATACCACTTGCTAGGATTAAATCCTAAAAATCTTAAATAACGGATCACATATCATAGTGTATTATTAAGAAATCAAGGAGAAATGTGTACCCGAATCCATTATGATAGTTGAGCAGAAGCGTGATTACGGAATATCCTTCTAATCTTTTTCCTCACTTTAATGCCTTTTGTTTTCTCCAAGAGAGGATCTGGAGAATATGTATTTTTTTGATAGGATTGGGGACCATTACTCCTAAATATTTATAGTTTTTCCATTTGGCGGTATGGGTGTAAAAATGGCCTGTGGCCCGTGAGCGGCCTGAAACCCGCCCGTGGCCCGTTTAAGCCCGCTTGGGCCCAGGCCCGAGCCCCTAGGCTAGGGACTGGGCCATCGTTTTGAAGCCCAGCCTGGCCCATCAGCCCGCTTAAGACCCGCTTAGGGCCCGGTCCAGTGTATTTTTTAGTGGAAAATAATAAATTTTCGGTAGAAAAAAATTTTAAAAATTAAAAAAAAATGGCCAGGTTTGCTCAAGCCTGAGGCTAGGCCCAAGCCCGAATACCCTTGGGCCTGGGCTTAGTTTTTTTTGGCCCGTGGCCCGGCCTGCTTTTTTGGCGAGAGCCCGCGAGGCCCGACATGGGCCGGGCCGAGCCAGATTTACACCCCTGCCTGGCTGTTGGAAACTATCATAATTTCTGTTTCTGCCCCTCATAAAAATAGAAATTACACAAAGGTATCTACTCATTAATTCCATGACAAACATACCCTTAAGTCTATTTATAACTAAATTAGATCACTTAAGTTTAGGCTTCTTGGTTCCAATTAGAAATTAATCCAACATGTATTAATTTGGAGAGGTGATTTCATGCAAGTTGCGGTGCTGGAGCAAAATGAACCCCAAATGGAACATGGGTTGAGGTTCTAAGAAAATAACTGATGATTTTTCATCTAAATACAAATATGCTCCTTGGTGAAACTAAAAGACAGTTTAATTTAAACCCCAAGGACTTGACATTTTGGGCATTGTTGAGATGAAAAGAGTAGTTCTGTTCTGAGAACTATGATAGCTAACATATTGTGCTAGAAATAAAGAGGTAAATTACTTTGATGAAGGGAATTCAGTCCCAGGTAATGATTACATAGTTATTTAACTAACTAGGCTACTGCCTACTTGCTGCCTTTGGGGGAGGGAAAACAAAAAGGAGCAACTATTTTTGGTATAAGTGGTCGTGAGCTATAAAATTTGGACAGTCCTATTTAGCTCCAATTTTGATAATGATCTTTGTACAAAATTTTGGAAGTGCTATTTAACTCCAATCTTTGTAGTAATCATGGGAACCTTAATAAATTAAAACCAGATAGAGATAGACATTGTTCCATTTTTAATTTTGAAAAAGGTGATGTTCCTTCATATTCTAATATCTATATGTAAGTTTTCTGCCTTTATGCAATATTGTAGATTTTGGTGCTTTGTATTCAATTTTTTTAAGCTTCTGGGTAGATTTATTTTGTAGCATACCTGGTCATCAATTTGTAATTTTCCTAATTTGTGCTAAAAATGACAGGTTGTTGGCCATCAGAAGATGTCCTTGCTTATTATTGCTTGTCTCATGTGGACATCTTCAGGTTGTTATGTAATATCTTGAGTTTTGCTGTTCTTGATATCTCAGCCTGTTCTTGCTTTATTACTTAGTTGCTAGGTCCTGAGAAACTTTTTTCTGCATGCTATAAAATGATGTGATTTTGCTGATCTTGTTTTCTAACCTTTCCAGGTCCAAAAAGGTTATTGAACTTGGATCAGGATATGGTTTAGCTGGTTTAGTTATTGCAGCAGTCACAGATGCATTGGAAGTTGTGATCTCAGATGGGAACCCTCAAGTAGTTGATTGTATCCTTTTGATTGCAGTCATGTTATAACTACCCTCAAGGTAGTTATGTCTGTCTCATTTCAGCTGTATGACTTACTTTGAGGAGAAAAACAAGCATAGTGTATTTCGATCACAAATTAAACATGAATAGAAGGAGGTGACATGCGTGATGCACCGTATACTTCACTTTGGAATTTTGTGGACAATACATACGTTAATGAGCAAATGAAGAGTGTCTTTGAAAGATGAACCAAGCAACTGATCCATCTATAGTTATAAGAATATGATGAATGAACACATGATAATGATCTTAGGGTCCATTGAGTCAAGAATGAATTACTGGAAGCAAGATTCTTCTCTAGACTTGTTGATTCACAAAGAACACCAAGAATAAAACGTAAACAGTGATTGATTGAAACAAATGCCCAAGGTTGGAAAGAAGAGTATAAACCTGAAATTGTATTAATTCTCAACTTATCTTGCCCTAAGGCTTAGAATTATTATTATTTATAAAAAACCTAATTATTAGAGAAGAATTGACAAAATAGGAAAATAACTCAAGACTAATAAAATATAAAAGCTGAATAATCTCAAATCAGAAAACTAAATTCTATACTATTCTATATGAAACTAGAATATTCCTAATCAAATATTAATTTCAAAATAATAATAATAATAATAATATTCCTAAAATCTTGTCTGCATCAATAATCCAGAGAAGCTACTTGTGATTGAAGATGACTCTCTGTAAGCATATAGGTAACCCTGTTTTCCTAAAAATTGCTAGTTAATATAAAAATATTTAAGGATACTGATTCTTTGTAGTAATGCACTCTCAACAATTTGTTCATATAACCCTGTTATTGTTAATTTTTCCTTCATGCTTCATCTCGGCTTGCTAGTTTCATTATTTGTCTCAGCAGTTACAATTTGTTACAAAAGTGACAAAATTGCAAGGATTAGGATTTTCTTCCCGTTTCCCCAAGTTGTTATTCTTTAATTGTGGAAATATCCTCTGAAGGTCTGCCATAGTGGTCCCTACATATTGTGCCACAGGCTCATATGTACTGCACATGTTTTCACTATTTTCTCGAAATCGCTGACAAGCATTTGCACTTTTTCCCACCCTCTCTCGGTAAAAAAGTGATTTCAGTTGTTTGAAGTAAATTGAATATATTGTTGGTGTGCAAATTTGTACCTTTTCCATCACAGATTTAGGTTTGAGATTTTGTGGTCAGTTTATTCTTGCGTATGGATGTTGGCAAGTTTCCAACCTTCTAATCTTTTAGGTCCTTAGAAATGTAAAGCTTAGAAATCTAAAGCTCGTGATTGCTTTCAGAATGCTATTCTGTAGCATCTTTCATATATGTAAATATATATATATATTTTCCCTTGGATTTAGATCTGAAGTTCTTAACATGCAGATATTCAGCGTAACATTAATGCCAACTCTGGTGCATTTGGTGGCACTCTAGTGAAGTCCATGATTTTGCACTGGGATCAGCGAGAAATCTCAGATAATTCCAACAGCTTTGATGTCATTGTAGCAAGTGACTGGTAATCTCTTGTTACAATAGTAAATTTCTATTTCTTGTTGAACTTTCCAATTAACTAGCGCTCTGCTTGGATTGCGAGGTGGGAAAAGAAAAGAAGTGATTATAGTTTCTCATCTAGGTGAGAAAAGAGGACACGCGCCTTTTAATTTTATTTGTTTTGTATTTAGAGGGGTAATTTAGGAATGATAAATTTTTCTATGCAATTTTGGTATCCAATCTTTCCCCTCCCAAACACACATTAATGTGTACTAATTGGGCGTTTTTAATTTTGGTTTCTCACTAAATCGGTGAGAAACAAAACATGAGTTTTTAAGAGATTTTTGTTTTCTCACCATTTCTCATCTCTTTAATGATCCAAACAAGTAATGAGAAATGTCTTCCTCTCCATTCTTTTCTTTTCTCATCAAACCCCTCAATCTAGATGGACTGTAAGTATTCGTCATGTTGTCCATTTTTGGCATTGTGAAAGTGAAGAGAATCATCAAGTTTGAACCAAGTGTTAATATGCCTCAACTTGTCCTAAACTTGTATTGAAAGCATTCTTTAAACTAGATTATTTTCTCTCTTTCTCACCGGGATAAGGACAGGAGGTTTGGACATTTATGGCATAGGAGTGACGGTCATCATAATGGGTCCAGCCCTTCCATCTTCAAGATTCTTCTCAATCTAATTTCTTTCTAGTGGATGTCATCGATGTGTTTCCTCTTTAGTACTTTTTATAATTGAGTTTGCGAGGTGACAAGACAAGATTGTTTATTGCTTCAATTTTGAATGCCCTGTGGTGGATATCTTGAAATCTAAGTTTTCACTAATCGACAAAAAACACCTATATGTAAGATGTAATGCATGAAAACATGCTTATGCAAGCAAATTGCTGGGAATGCATTTCTCATCTTTATGTTAAAAGATTTTATATTTCTTTTCAAATTTCTTGACTTTGACTCGTTGTCATTTTGCAGCACTTTCTTCAAGGAATTCCACAAAGGCCTCGCTCAAACCGTCAAATTCTTGTTAAAAAGCGAGGGCCCCTCAGAAGCTATATTTTTCAGCCCTAAAAGAGGCAACTCATTGGACAGGTTTCTAGTGGAAATAAAAGAGATTGGCTTGCATTTCAGCATAACTGAGATCTACGACACACAAATTTGGAAGCGTCATCAGGGTTTTTTGAATGGCAATAATGCGTGGCCTAACTACGAGAAGGATCACTGCTACCCATTATTGGTCAGAATCGCTCTGTGAACATCTGGAGCCCATTTTTGTTCTGTACATGTTCCAGGTAGTTCATATTCGTCACAAAATCTAACTGTTTCTTTTTGTTTATTGGTTGATTGGTTTGTCGTATGCATTGGTTTTCATGTACAGACAACAGCACTTCACTTTTTCCTAGTTTATTGGTAGGTCCCGACAATACTTGCATTCCACATATTTTCCACTGCATTTCATAGGTCCTCAGTCCTCACTGATAGCGTTTACCAATTGGAATCGTTTGGTTACTGTTTTTGATTGATCTTTTTTCTTATCGGAATGGGTTTTTATTGATCTATTATTCCATGAATAATTGCTTTCCTTTTAACTTGATTGCTATATGTGATCATCCTTGAAACTTTTGACATGCAAGAAGATTCCATTTCATTATTAAGGGATAAAAAGGAAACTACTAAACAAAGACTCCACCAAGAATATAATGCAGGACAATGTCAAAAAGAAGAAAACAGATGCTTTCTGGATAAAGTATATTAGTAGCATTTTTTGGTAGTGGGAGAGGGTTTTTTTTTTGATTTTTTTTTTTGTTCAAATGTGTTGGATCCTTGGCCTTTAATGAAAATTGTAAATATATAACTGGATAGACAATTTGTCCTTAGAAGACTGATGCATGGTTGAGAATTCCATTGCATTAAGCCGAATTATTATGAAAATCTCATGGAATAGGGAATGTTTTGGTTACAGATATGAAGCTGCTTTTACAGAGATCAGTGTGTCCTTTCTCCTACAAATCTCTTGTTTCATTTTTTATTTTGCTATTTATCATTTAAACTGTGTTTGGATCTTGAATTTGAAGAGAGATTTATGGACGAAAAAGGGAATCTTTTCACATTTGCCTTTCCTTTTCTTGTCTCTCTATCAAAATCCAAAGATCCAAACACAGCCTTAGCTGTGCCATCTAAGAATTTGTTGCTTTTGTTGAAATTAGCCCTAGGAAAGGTAATTTGGAACCGTTTCCATTTTCGGTCAGGGTGGGAAGTCCACTCGAAGCATGAACAAGCTGGTTTTGACTTCGCAATCAATGTTCTTTTGAGAAAGTTCTATTCCCATTTTCACTTCATTTCTACTTTCTTGACAACCTAATGTTGCATTGATCCAATACGCATGCCTTCGTTATTTGGGTGTTTATTTTTATTTTTAATTTTAATTTTTATGTCTTAAAAAAGTCAAAATGCGGAGCTCCACTTAAAATGGGTGTTGCTGTCATCATTCTATTGCTTGGTCGGTTTGTTTTCCCCACACAAGTTGGTTAAAGAATCAAATCTCATGGTGGCCTATCTCTAGATGATCTCACCTCCTCTCAAGTCTTCTCAGAGTTTTAATGTGTATCACTCGTCTTTGCCTTCTTTGATATTTCCTTCCCTAACAGTAGTTTGTCTGCAATTTGCCTAGCTAATTGTCTTATAGCCAAAACATTATGGTCCGACCACCTTGTGTGTTTCACCGCCATAATGACTTGTCTTATCTGCTGCTATTACTTTCGCTTATAGTAGGGTCTAGGAGAGGTAGTCGGCCAGCTGTTTTTTCATAAAATCTGATTCTGATGATTCATACTTGCAATTAAAAAACAAAAATGGCCGAGACTTTCAAAGTTGGGAATTTCTATCATCCTCAAAATAATCTGTGCGGGCCTGCGCATGGGCCAACAAGTCATAGCCTAGCGCCCTTCAAAATAAATATAGAAAAAAGGCCCCTTTTATTGTGGTTTGGTGTAATATATTAGGTACGTTTTAAGGTAAAAAAAAAAAATTAAAGAAGACTCAAACTAACTTAAAATAAATTGACGTATTAAAAAATTGAAAGGTCCATTCAAAAAAATTAACATTGTTATCTATTGAAAATAGATCCAAAAAAAGGGGTCTTCTTATTATAGTTTATTGTAATATATTAGGTATATTTTAAATCAAAAAAAAAATTAAGGAAGATATAAACTAATTTAAAATAAATTGACCCATTAAAAAATTGAAAGGTTTATTTAAAATAATTAGTATCGTTATCCATTGAAAATGATTTTGTAAAAAAATTAGATTATGCAAGTATGATTGATTTATTTGTTTTTAAAAATACAAGAAGAGTGAGGATCAAATGATATTTATTAATTGTTGTAATATAATACTAAGTATTTTTTGTGATTTTGACACAAATTTTGTCTTTTATCTTTATTTTTTTTTCATTCAATGAAAAAAAATGTGAAGGGTCTTAAAAATTTATTAATTGATTATTGGCTTTGGATTCTGAAAAATTTAGGACCGGGCTTGAAAATAATATAAATTAATTATGTATTTTTTTTTTTTTTATTATTTTTTTTGGGACCAATCATAAATGAGCGAGGATTATGTTTTTTTTAAGAGTGGCATTATTGATTAAAAAAAAGGCGGAAAGATGTAGACATACAAATGGTGGGGTGTAACTCAAAAACGATAGGGGTGTAACTCTGAGTTCTCCTTTTCTGTAATTATTTTTAATCTATTTCACTCATGTAATTCCCTGCTATACATAGAGTACCTGTTTGGGAAGGCGTGTTGGGGTTAAAATTAGGCTCTAAACGAATCGAGTGGAGTTGAGTTTTGCTGAGCTTGAGCTCGGCTCGTTTACTTATCGAGTTCGTTTATTGAGTTTGAGCTCGGCTCAATAAAGAACTGGGCTCGAGCTCGGCTCGGCTCGATAATTTTAATGAAGCTCAAGCCCGGCTCGGCTCGACTCGATAATTTTCTCGAGCTCAGCTCGATAATTTTTTTTTTCAATATTATTTATATTATTTAAATAAAAAATATTATTTAAATTATTTAATATATAAATAATATATTTATTATATAATTTAAATAATGATAAATGAGCCGAGCTTATGCGAGCTCGAGCTCGGTTCGTTTACTAAACGAGCCGAACTTGTTCATGAACAGCTCAGTTCGTTTGCATTGCTAGTTAAAATAACCAATAAAAATAAAATATGTTAAAATAATTAATAAGACAAAATATTACATTTAATTTATAACGGTAGTGTTACATATGCTAATTAGGATACTAATTAGTGTATCAACACTAGTTATGGCATTATTATTTACATTATAAATTCTAAAAATCTCTTAAATTATGCAACAACATCAATTGGTACAGTATTTAGTATATCAATTAGTACATATAGTATTATTTAATTTATAATCATTTTACTTTTTATTTCACAACTATCAAATTAATTATTAAAAAAAAAAATTAATTCGCTTTCTAAATATAATTCTCTTAATTAGATTAAAATAATTAAAATAGTCAATTTTTTAAATAAAGTTAGAGATGCTATTATTTTCACATTAGTTAAAAGTTTGTTACATTTCCACTTTCCATGATGCAGACTCCAAAAATATCTTCTGTGACAATTGGCCACTTAAGAATTTGAGAAATTTTAACCGATGCTTCAAGAACTTTAGGTCCTAGATGCCAATCATTGCCCCTCTAATCCTAGGACAATGACCTATTGTTTGCCACGAGAAAGTTTACGAACCCAAAAACAGAGACCAGAAATTGAATTGGAAGAGTGATGTGTTATTGAGATTTATTTTTATATAATGAGATTTACATGTAAAATTAATCTTAACTATTTGATATATTATTTGTTTGGATTTTTTTTTTGTTCTCCTCCTCCAATCCCTAGTTGGTTACTCAGATTTTTCGAGGAAAAAAATTGTTACATTCTAGACTATGGGTTTGTTTGGGATATTTGTTTGGACTATTTTAATCATATGAGACAAAATAAGCTATTTTGGTCATATAAGACAAAATATTATATTTAAATCATAATTGTTTCATTTTTTTTTTCCACAAAAGTTAAAAAAATATAAAAGTTAAAAAGGTTAAAAAATCTATTCTAAATTAAACTTTTTAACCTCATGTTAAAATAGTCAAAAAATCAAAATATTAGCTCAAATTCCAAACGAGTCTCATGTAGTTAGGATTTTTTATATTTTCATGTTAGCAAATTGTAAATGATATTTTTGACTTTTAAAAAAGTAGCTCCAAGATCTAGTCTAATATTCAACAAGTTATGATTATATCAATTATTTAACCTTAGCGCCCCTTAAAATATCTCAGGTAGGTTTTGAAAATATCAAATTACTATTTAGCTGCTTGAAAAAATTACTGTATGCTCCTACAATAATGTTAGAAAGTTTTGATCGCCCCAGATAGAGAGTTTTTTCTCCCTAAGATTTACTTATGCTGTGTTTGGTTAAGGTTTTTGGGGTGAGATTTGGAAAAAGAATGAGAAATGTAATCCTATTTATGTTTGGTTATAATAAAAAATATATGGGAAAAGAAAGACGGTGAGAAATAAATAAAGAAATAGGAGACATTTTAGGATATCAATTCTATTTTATAACCAACACAACCAAACATAGTTGGGATTTGGAATTCTATTAATTCTTTCTCCTTTTCCTTTCAGCCGACATATACAAAATACAGCTAATACAAGTCAAGAAGCATGATTTTCAAGATTTGCCGACATGCAAGGTAGGCATCGCCGACGTAAATATAAAAGCAAAGCCGACATAATTACAAATCCAAGACAAGCATCCAAACGATCTAGGCGTCGCTGCCGTCCTGCTCATCACCTACATATATATAGAGGGGTGAGTACAAAACTCAGTGAATGGTACTAATAATAAAGGTTTTGCATGAATATAGCCGAGGTCCTTCAAGACGAAACACATCAAACTTTAGCAAGGTGAGGGATGAACCGTATTCATCAATCAAATATTACAAGTAACCAAAGATGTTCACTGACATAAGCAAAACAAGGGATGAACCGTATTCATCATTCAAGTATCATATCATCATTCAAGTATCATATGAACCGTATTCATCAGGATGAACCGTATTCATCGTTCAAGTATCATAGGCTAGTACGAATCCGTAATCGTTTGGTCAAAAGTATGCGCAAGTTTAAAGTCCTCCAATACCAAGGGACTTGCGTTAACTTAGGCCGTAGCCCGATTAACAAGGACGTAATCCTTTTATACTTCAGTACTGCAAAAGTTTTAAAGTCTTCAGCACAAGGGACTGGTGTTACTTTAGGCCCGTAGCCGATAACAAGGACCGTTCCTTACACATGTACGGCGAAAGTTTAAGTCCTCCAGCACAAGGGACTTCCGAGGATACAATCAAACAAGGCTAATTTATTCATGCTTAGCAAATACCACATTCAACAACAAACAAAACAAGATTTATCAAAGCAAGTGGTAAACGTAAGCTTTATTAGAAATTATCTCACCTAGGCCTTCAGAGTGTAACTCAAAGCAAATATATCAAGGACCTAAATCACTGGCAAGTCACATTCTCAAAGCAAGCTTTATATATACATCAAATGATTCGGCATTCTTGCCAGATCCAAAGTCAAAGACAAACAAAACAATGTGGGAGCTTAATCACTGCTTCCTGTTCTCCGAAAACACACTGGGTTACATCCAGGACTAAGCCGAGGTTCCGCTAAACGAAGTCGGGGAAAAACCTGGGTTTTCCTTTGAAGAATATGAAGAACATGATCATTGAAAGATGGATGCAAGCTCGCAACTTGTTATAAAAATCTGAGTTTTCATGCCACAAGAGTTCAAAATATGGACCTGGGTACCCATTCAAGAAAGTCATGCAAGAACAAACACAAAACATGGTTTTCGTTCCAAACTTTTCGATCAAAATGAGACTTTCTTCAAGAACACATGAAAAACCATTTTCTCTTTCCAAACCAACTTCAAAACGATGCATGACATGCAACACAATTTCGATCATGCAATGCAGCTAGGTAATCAGCAAGAACAACCAAAGGAGATCAAGATTCTAACCTCAAAACTCGGATCCAACGGTTCAAACCACGAAGATCAAGCTTGGCAGACTACTCTCACTCAATAACTCTTCTCTAGAGCTTCTCTCTCTAAAACAAAGATTGAGACAAGAAAATGATTTGTTTCAAGGTCTGCCGGCTGCCTTAACAATCAGCTCGGACACGTGGCGTTAACGGATTGGTTCAGCTCCAAAAAGGTGATTGATGGACAAGACAAGTATCTGACAAAGCTTATGCAGCAAGCTCGGGTAGGACACATCGGCAACAAGATGACATCGGCTCAAATCAAGGATCCGGCAACAGGATAACAAAACATCGGCTAGGGAGGACGACACTTGACTAAGCTATGCCACACCTTGGCCGGGGTGTGCCACATCTCGGCCTAGGCCATACCTGCCCAAGGACAAGGTTCACTAAGTGCGAAGCATCTCGACAATGAATGCCCGAGGTGAAGATGGGGTTGAACAAGATCTCAAAACAAGTCTAAGTACAAAGGGTCAAAGGCGGACTAAGCTCAAGGTGGCCTCGGCTACGCACATACCGAACAAGGGACAAGATCCCGCAAGTAATACCAACAAAACAAGGCAAACAAATCCTTCCAATTAATATAATAAAGCAAGACCATGCAAGAATGTATGCAAGTATGACAAGAGTAAGGTGAGGGTCGTTACACAGATAGAGAGTTTTTTCTCCCTAAGATTTACTTAATGAATGTCACAAATACATTTATTTCATACTATTCGTTTTTGCAAATACATTTTTGTCTTTTCACGTACTTTGTTTAGAGTGACACTAACCAATTGAGTCGTTACAATTAATGTTACAAACGAGTCCAACCCAACTGATCTTTGGAGTATTCATGTTTAATTCGTTGAAAATAAATCAAACTTAAGCTTGAGCCAAGCCCTCAGCTTATCTTGTCTTTGACAAATTAAATTTGGCTTGAATCAATTCGATTACATAAACAAATTAAGTTTAAGGTCAAGCTCAAGATTTAAAAAAAAAAATTAAAACTAAAGTTAAAAAAATATAAAAAAAACACGTACATTGAAATAAAATAAAAAATTATGAGCAAAACATAAAGAGTGTAAGATAAATTGATAGAATGTCTTTGACAAATTAAATTTGGCTTGAATCAATTCGATTACATAAACAAATTAAGTTTAAGGTCAAGCTCAAGATTTAAAAAAAAAAAAAATTAAAACTAAAGTTAAAAAAAATATAAAAAAACACGTACATTAAAATAAAATAAAAAATTATGAGCAAAACATAAAGAGAATATCCATATCGTTAATTGTTTTATCATTCAAATATGAAAATTTGCCCATATACTAAACATAAACAAAGACAGAAAGTGAATTATGAAATATGTTTAATATATCATTAAAATAATATATGTACGAGTCTATTCGAACTCAGTTGGGGTTTACTTGAGTTTAACTCAATTAATACACAAGTATAAAAATTTGACTTGAAATTATTAATAAATGCCTCAATTTGTTTGGAGTCATAAAATGATTAAGAGATAGGATACTCAGGTTAAAGGTTCATTTATAAAATTATTGGGATAACAGGCCCAAACTTAAATCTTTGAGTCAAAAGGGTATTGTTTGTCCAAAAAGAAACTCATGTGTTTAAAGTTATCTTTTGTTTAAATATCACTTACGTTTACAAGTTTCACTTATCTATCTATTTGTTCAAATATATATTTATATGTACGTGTTACCTATTTATACACCTATTTATTCAAATGTATACATATATGTATATGTATGTATCACTTATCTATCTATTCACCTATCTGTTTAAATTTTATTTTTATTAAAATTTCAAGAAATATAACCCCTAACCTCCATGAAATCTCATGTTTAAGTAAATTATTTGGTCTTCCAAATCCAGTTGGTTGTAGGTGTGGCGGTTTCAACTGAATTGAGTAAAAAAGCCCAGTAGGCTTATGCATTTTGTAAGATGAACACACACACACACACACACACACGCACGCACACGCATATATCACCAATCTATTTCCCAGAAATCACCTTCAAAGCTAGAAATAACCAAAACCCCACAAGATTTCTTTCTTTTCTACTGTTTAATCTTTTGCCCTTTAATTACAGCATTTCCATACTACACCTTTGAAGACACTGTAGATTCCAATTCTTAAAGCCCCAAAACAGGAAAGAAAAAAAATATATTTTACACTTTTACCCTCTAATTTTTATCTAATTTTCACTTTAGTCCTCCATATTCTAATTGCAAAAATTAAATCTTCAACATTTAACATTCATTTATACTTTTCACCCTGCCTCTGACTTTCATTGAAAATCTTCTTTAGTATCTTATGTTTTAACTTTCTGTTAAAGTATGATTTATACAAAAATAGAAAGGAAAGAACTTAATACACATTCAAAATAATAGAAGTATCTAACATTAGATATGGAGAATTATGAAGTGGGGTTGATTTACAATGTGGATTTTTGTTAAACTTGATTTCCTAACTTTTAGTGATACATGATGGAAGATTGAATTATGAGAGAGACTATAGCCTATAACAAATTATAGGAATGAGAGTGTTTGAGAAATAGAAACAAGAAAAAGAAGAAGAAAAATGAATGCAAATAGAAGAGCTGGATGAGGAGGAGGAGAGTGTGTTCTGGTTGAGTCTCCGGTGGCCAATTTTGCTAGCCATGACCCTGTATTTGCCAACATTTCCTCCGACGCCGACGACCCCGACCCATCTGTTGGATTTGGTGAATCTTTTGATGATTTTTGGCTGCATTACAACAAATCCCCAAAATTAAATTACATCTCATCACAGTTTTTTATTTTTTATTTTTTAATAACAAGATTTAGTAGAATAACTTTTGAGTTCTTTATTTTTCTTAATATGTGTATTTAGTGAAATTTTGATATTTTAATAAAATTATTTTATTTCGTACATTTAAAAAGTAAATTATTTATTAAAAAAAAAAAAACTCACTAAAAAATAACTGAAAAAATTATTAAAAAAAAAAGGCACAAAAACTTAAAAATTGACAAAGAGTGACAAAATTACCGACGGCCGGACGGACAAAACGTGACAATATAATCAGCAGCCGTACACGTAAACGTACTCGTGGCATCATCATATGCATAGCTATACGATCTCGGACACGCCGACTTAAACATCTGCGAGTACACAGACGGCGTACAAGTCGACGGCGAACTATACTCGCCGCTACAACAATACTCCGGACTCCCAAATGCTTCACACGCGCTCCTACACGCGTCTCCATCAGCCACTCGGAGCTCCGTCGGGCACTTCCGGTTCAAGTCCTCCGCGCAACCCGTAGCCGCACAGCTACCCGACCCGCCACTCACCTCCACGAACATGGGCAGGTTGTACCCGTCTACGAGGCTGACGTCATAGAAGTCCTGGGTACCCGACCCGAGTGTGAACTCGGCTAGGGTCGCCGGAGGGGTGGCTCCGGCGCCGTTGCATTCGACTTGGTTGGAGCCGCAGTCGCCGGTGGAGCAGGAGCCGTGGCCTGAGCCGTCGAAATTGCAGCCGGTTCGGCCCCAGAACCGGCCGGACCAGCCGGTTGGGGCTTGGAAGGAACGTGAACCGCCCTTTGGGAGCTCGAATCCTGTGGAGTCGAGTGTTGGGGTGCCGAGAATTCCGGGCCAGAGAGTGAAATCGCACTTGTTCACAAATGTAAATGTAGTACCTGAAACATCTGTTTCAACCCACACGAACCATATCATATAAAAAAATACTTCAATTATTGAAAATATTTGGAATTTAAAATTTTAGCAATTACTAATTTTATGAACATATTGTGTGCTTTCTATAATAAAATAGATTTGAGAAGTGCAGAGATTTTGATTTGTTTTATTTTTTCTTCCTTTTTGCTTTTGGAATTCTTTCTAGATGAAAAATTAATGTCAAGTCTAGCATTCTATATAAGTCCTATGTTATTTTAATAATAAGAGAATATGTAATTATTTTGTCCTTATATTTTTAATAAGATGAACAAGGTTAGGTTATTTGCGTGTTAGTCTAATTTTCTTTTCTATTCTCTTTTTTCATTGATTGTTGAAAAATAAATAAAAAAATAAAAAATCATATGGAATGGAACCTTATCCTTTTTGTGGGATCACATCTATCAACCAATTAGGATGATTCTGACACTGATTAGATCTTGAAATCAAGCAGAAAGTGAATTGAATAATGTTTACCTTTAGAAATGAAGAGCACAACAAGGCTCAGAATCATATTAGGGCACAGAGCCATAAAGATTTTTGCCTCCTAATAAAAAAAGATATATAGTTTATTTCTATGACTTGGGTTTGCAACCTTGAATCAGTGTTTGCAATTTTTAGGGACTGAAAAATAAATGGTAGTGACAACGATGAGAACAGTGAAATGAAATGGTGGATAAGTAGAGATGAAGCAGTGAAATAGAGAACCGAGACAGGGTTTTTTGCCTTGGTAGATGGCGGGGAGAGATGATGAATGTAAAAGAAGTTAGGCTTACCACCCACGCATAAAAACCTTCCCCTAAAGCCTCATCCCTCTCTCTCTCTCTCTGAGAAATTGAGAAATTTCTCAGTAGTTCTAGTGTAGTAGAAGAGAGTGGACAAGGAAGAAGAAGGGTACTGAAGTGGTAAGTGGTGGGTGGGAATCTTACTTATCTGCTATTGGCTTCTATTTATAGACAACCAGGGAAGTAAAGGGACAATCTTTCTTCACCTCCTATTTATTCAGTACTCTTTCGGAGTATGAACATATTCTATAAAATTTTAATTGGTGGAGAGATAGAAGAGCTTACGATTTATGTTGGGGATGCAAAAACAACATAAAATTAATTAATTAGGTCTCGTTTGGAAACAGACTATTTTAATAATTTTTTGACTTTTTACGAAAAGATGTACAAAAAAGTAAAGAGGTGATGTGACTAGTTTTAGTTGACTTTTTGACTAAAATAGCCATTACCCAAACAAGGCCTTAGTAATTAATTTAGAGTATGAATACATAATATTCCAGGAGTTTTGAATAATTTCTCCTGGCACAATGTATTTGGTGCCGATTACAGTCAAACTTGAGCTAACTTCCTTTGCCTAGGACGTGGGTCACATGACTTTATTTATTTATTATTATTATTATTTTTAATATAACGTGGCAAAAATCCCTTAATTTATGTTGTGATGGACAAATGTCGTGCATGCAAAAAAATTGACGAAAAGATATATATATATATATATATATTTTAAAGAATTCGTTAATTACTATTATCTTTGCCTTTTTAAGTTGCCAATATGAGATGCTGTTATCTTTACTCATTGATGTAGCATGTATCATATTATTGATAAGAATATTGTTTCAGATTTTGTAGTTTTAATATTGCATTACACATTAGTTGGTAATTTTTTTATATTTATTTTATGAAGTTTGTTAATTTGGATTCTATTTTTCATTGAAGATGAACTTCCATACAATTGGTGATACTATATCATGATTAGAATACAAATCTTTATTTTAATACATATGGTTAAATACATTATTAGAATCAAAACTAATGGAGTATAATTTTTAAATCAATTTGAAATTTAAAATCTTCCTTAAGTATTTTGAATTTGAAAAAAAAAGGGTAAATTATACTCACCTCCCCTCAGGTTTCTAACAATTACATAGATCTCCCCTGTAATTTCAATAATTACAAAAATCTTCCTTACTTTTTCAGACATTGTCAAGATTTCTCCTCTTGTTAATTTAAGCCAAGCGGTGTTAACTTGGTTGTGCAAATGACCATAATACCCTTTACACTTAATACCCTTTAATTGTAATTTACCTCTATATATTAAATTATCATTTTATTTTTCACAATTTTTTCTTTTCTTTTGTATTTCGTTGACTTAGTATTTTTTTTCCACGATAAGTTTTGAACTTTTATAAGTTAAAAGAAAATCAACCATTAATGAAATTAAGAAAGAATATCCATGTTTCTTATTTGAATTAATTTTGAGATTTAATTTAATAAAAATAATTTAAATTAAAGAAACAAAGATGAAGATATAGAATTTAGATGTAATAAATAACATTTGTTTGAGTATTTTATTATTTTCAAATAATTTATTTCATCAAGTAAAATTCTATTTTAATTAGATGTAAGAAATGACAAATTTAAATAGTTTGTTATTCTCAAATAATTTCTTTATCTTTCATTTCCTATCATCTAATTTTAATTTATTGTAACATGATTAGATATTTTTTCACTTTTATATTTATTTTTAAAAATTTTATTATTAAGGTGAGAAATATAAACTTATTTTTTTAAAGATAATTAAAATTTGAGCATAATATAGGATTGTGAAAAGATAAAATGATAATTTTTTTATGTGTATTTATGACGTAATTTTTATAAGTCAATTTTTTTTATTATAAATATGAAATGTTATTATATTTATTTTTCTTAAAAAAAAATTCAATACACAAATATGTATACAAAACAAAAGAATAATTCATGTTTTGTAAGTTACTATGGTATTGGGCGATGCTAGTTAGCATTGATGAAAGAGAAAAAAATAATGAAAAAAATTGAGGAAAAAACATAGAGAAGAGAACAAATAATAATAATAATTAAATGTTGCTGCTATTTGACAGTGACACTATGAAAAAATGAATGAGAAAATAAATATAAATAAAAATTAAAGAAATAAAATAAAGAAAATGAAAAGAGAGGGATAATTTCTCCAAATACGTATTTTTCATACGGAAAATAAAAAAAATTCAAATACCTATATGTATTTTTAAATTTTTATTCAAACTCTAATTTCTCAAAATAATTATTTATAAAATTGGTGGTCTTTTTAAAAAATAAAACATCTTTTATACTTTCTTTCGTAATTTTCAAATAAATGATTGTATTTAATCTAGTATAAGATTTAATGGTGATCAATTTACTATCTCTTTTTTTTTTAAAAAAATTTTTTAAGACAAGGTAATGTTTGGTTATTGTACTCTATATATGTTTGTCTTAACAATTTATAATTTTTTTAAATATTGTATAGAATTTAATAATTTTGTTTAACATTATTAAAATAATATATGGATCTTTATTAATTTCTTGTAAAACCTCAGGCGAGGTGAGTGAAATTTACTATTTGAATATATAAGGGCAATCTTTGAATTTTTCACTCATAGTACATGACGTCAGTATGACATCATCATATTCTGTTAAATAAATTAATAGAAGATTAACGGTGGAAAATCTTAATAATAGTTTCAAAAGTAAAAGTAATTTCTGTAATTATTGAAACTACAAGAGAGATCTTTGTAATTGTCAAAAACCTCAGGGGAGGTGAGTGTAATTTACCTATAAAAAAAAAGGTATGTTGGACATTTTTTTTAATATTTAATTTGAAGGTATGGTGGAGATGAGTATTTCGAATTGAATAATTTAGTCTACGCTCAGCCTAGTTTTAGTTTCGTTATTCTATCTAAATTTTCATTAATTTTTCTCACATATACACATTAGGAGATTGACACCGTTCTAAAATTGTTAATTTTAACTTTTAACTTGGAAAAAGAACCAAATTAAAATTATATTTAAAAGTGTAGGAGGAATGATTCAATTTGAGACAATAAATGGCAAAGTAAAATTTAAATTGAATTATTGAAATTAGAGAGGGTGATGGGGTGGGTTTGTAATCCCCGTTCCCGTCGTGTACGATATCAAGGCGGAGCAAATCAGATTGGTGGCAGTATCAATTTATAATTAATGAAAAATAAAAATATAAAATGAGAAATATATGAATGAAAATAAATGTTAAATGTAATTTTTTAAATTTAATTTTATCATATTGAAAAAAAATAAATGATATATATTATATACTTACAAATTTGTTTAGTAAATATAAACGGAATGGGAGAAACAAAACCTTTTCCCATCTCACTTTCTCATTGAAACAAGAAAAATTCATTAAGAATAAGGCGAGAAAAAATGATCACCTCTAACAAAAATTGAAAGTATAATTTCCCATAGCGATTTCACATGTTTTTCCCCGACCAATTCAGATTCACTAGTTGAAGATTTGCAGCTAACGCAATAATATTTGCTGATGTCATGCTATGTTTTTTCATTAAATTTCTAATCGACCCTTTCTTAAATACTAAACTTCTGTTTGGCAAGAGCTAAATGAAATTTTTTTGACTATTTTAGTCACAAAAGATAAAATAGACTATTTTAATCACAAAAAATAAAATATCACATTCAACCCATAATCATTACATTCTTCTCTCACAAAAAAAGCCAAAAAAATCAAAAAGCCAAAAAAGTCATTCCCAAACCAAACTTTTTAGCCTAGGCTATTTTGGAAAGTTGGCTTTTAGCCACTTTTTTTTAGTTTGTAGCAAAAGCCAAAAGTTGGCTTTTTTGTCTTTTTTTTCATTTGGGAAGTTGGTTTTTAGCCAACGGTGAAATTATAATTTTACCATCATGGGTCAAAATGTGTTACATAAGTGAAGTTGTAAATATTTTAAATAAATGGGGGTAATTTGGTCATTTTATTATGATTTGACATCATAAACAAACATTAATAAAAAAAGTCAAAAAGTCACTTTTTACCAACTTTACAAATCATTTGTCTAAAAAAGCCAAAAGCTTGGTTAAAAGTCAAAAAATCACTTTTTACCATCTTTTCAAAATAAACCAAAATAGTTAAAAAGTCAAAAAATTAACCCACTTCCCAAACGGAGGCTAGTATTAAATTAAAAAACATTCATATTATCAAACCGTAGCTACCAAATACATATGCAACACTTTGATGGGTTTGGGTAATTACTTTTTTTTAATAGTTTTTTTAAGAATCTATAAAAGTTATATTTTTTTTTTTTGGTTAATGGAGAGCAATTTGGGAACTTGATAAAAAGTCAATTTTTTTGGCTTTTTATCTAATTCTTCCAAAAAAAACCACAAAAAAATCAAAAAAAGTCAATTTTTTTGTCAAAAAAATTACTAAAAAAATTAAAAAGTCAAAAAATTAACTTTTTATCAACTTCTCAAAAAGTTAACTTTTGTTTTAACAAAAGAGAATATGACACTCAAGGCAGAGGTTCATTTCCAAATTTTTTGGGCTAATAGATCATGCTTAAATATTTTTGGCTCAAAAGGACATTAGCAATCTAAAAGGACACTAATTTGTTCAAAAAGAATATCTATTTATTCAAAGTTTACGTATCTATCTATATGTCAAAATATCATTTATTTATATACACGTCAGTTGCCTATCCAATTATTTATTTAAATATCACCTATCTAAACATATATTACTTATCTATTCATCTATTTAACCCATTTATCTATCTCACCGCCGCTAGCCAACTGTAGCCACCAGCCACTCTTTCAACCAAATTTTTGATAATTTTTTAATGCATATTCTTATCACAAATAAAAAAGCAAAATAAATTTTAGACCAAATAACATATCCCCTATGGCATGTTTGATTATGTTTGATTGACAAGATTAGAGCAAGAGATTTAGATTATTAATCCGTGGGGTCAATAATTCTGTATTTGTTTTGAAATTTTGTTTCAGGATTATTAATCCAATAGATAATTAATCTAACAAATTTGTAAGATTGTTAGTAATGGGGTAGGGGTGTGATAATATATTATGAGCTGGGAAATAAAATAAA